ATATCTGCTATTGAATTCTCACGATAAGCTTCAAAATATCCAATAACTGCAATTTCCGTGGCCTCGCTTATTATGAATTCTTTTTTTGCCCTTGTTTTGGCAAAAACATTTTCGTTGCCCCTAAATTTTCGATAAAGTCTCAGAAAATATCGTTCATACGGTTGAATGCGAGCGGGATATAATTCACTGTAGTATTCTCTTGCTCTCAAGGAGGATTTTCTGCACACTAAATAGCATTTTAACATATCACACTTTTCTTCATGGAGAACATTTTTCTTTAAATTAATGACACAATAAAGCTTATAAACAAGTATTTACACTAATGTTTGACATTATTTGATTTTATCATTGTTTTCCAAAGCCTTCTAGTTGCGAGTATGTCCAGTTTAACAACTTGTCGCTTATCTTAATGCTGTCAAATCGCGAACGCCATGTTGCTTTCATAGCCGTCTTAATATTATAATACTGCAAATAATTAAAAATATTTATCGTTATTTTGACTTTATTTTTGACTTTAGCGGAAAAGTCATTATGAACTTTTTTGTTTAAAATTTGATGCTTTAACAGAAAAAAATATAATATACAGGGGTTTCCATTTAAAAAAATGTTATTTTACTGAAAAAAATCAAAATAACGACTCTCAATTATTTTTTTTTATTTCTCATTTTTACCAGCGTTAAAAATGCTACTAGTTTGCTAATTCAAACAACTTTGTATTTTCACTAATAACAAAGTTACTAATGGTGGACACTTAATTTGGATAACCCTGTATATATATATATATATAACTTTGAAGTTGAGTCATTAATTTTCAGATAATGATTGTAGAAGGAAGATAAACCAAAATATGTGTGTAAGAATAAAAAAAATTGAAAAAATTTTTTTACCTTGTTTTATAAAGTATCCTCCCGACAAGTATTTCAGTGCGGACCTGTATTTGATCGTGAGGTCTTGGAGCACCGGCATGCAGTCCCCTGTGTGGTCTTAAGTCACCTGATTCACCAGCCCGTTGTACTACATTAACAAAGGCACGAGGGGTTGGTTGCACTCGATTGGGAAACCGATCCGCATAAACATGTGCCATTTTTTATTTCGTTTGAGCCACGCAACAGACACCACTATTCAAACGCGTTACCGACTGACACTGACTGTATACAACTGACTAAAATAATTGTAAAAACATCGTTCCAAATTCTTTCGCTTTTTTGTTTCCGATGCGATGAACCAAACACGAGCACATAATATTATTATTGAGACAGGGCGGTACTCAAACTTCCAAAGGGCTATAACTTTGTTACTTAAATTTTACCAGAAAAATGGTAAAGGAAAAAAACATTTCTTTTGATCAGATCTACTCACTGTTAAAATAAATGACTCAACTTCGAAGTCACCCTGTATATATATATATAATATTTATGTATGTATAATGTATGTATAATTAAATATATATATATATATACAGGGTGGCGCATAGAAAACGAAACAGACGCACTTATTGGCAGCTCAGTTTTTTTTTTGGAAAAACGCTCAGACCCGTCGGTCTTGTTTTCGAGGAGGACACAAGTTTGGCAAAAAATCACGTTAACACGTGCAGCCCCCTGGGCGGGGGTGACACCAACCCTAAAATCTTAAATGGAAAGGGGCGTCGAGTGATACCTTATTTTAAAGGTCTTTCAATTCACTTTATAATGATGTAAAATTCATGAGCTTCAGTTCAGCAGTTTTGAAGATTTATTGATTTAAAGCTTGAAGTAGACTTTAATAGGTACATCAGATTAATTTGTACTACTTTCAGAAGAAATTTGACTAAAAGAGTTTACTTAATAAGTAAATGCTTTTCTTCAATACGCCCATGGTTTGGTAAAATACATGAGCTTCAGTTCAGTAGTTTTGAAGATTTATTGATTTAAAGCTTAAAGTAGACTTTAATAGGTACATCAGATTAGTTTGTACTACTTTCAGAAGAAATTTGACTAAAAGAATTTACTTATAAGTAAATGCTCTTCTTCACTACGCCCATGGTTTGTTTATTATTTTGTTGTTGAAAATATCTATTGGAGCGTTTTTTTGTGGCAATAAAGTTATTTCTTGAAGAAAGATAAGGAAATATCTTGTACTTATTTTAAATAGGAATTTAGTACATAGTTTGCGATTGATTTGACCAAACTTTGTTGCTAAAATAACATGTAACGCTTTATTACATAAATTAACCATGGTATATTCCTCAGCAGAAAGAATTGAAATTATCGAAATAGTTTTCGGAAATAATCAGTGCGCTAATAGAATAGCAGAAATATTTAATGAGCGACATGAGAACAGTAACGTGCATCGAAAATATGTTCTAGATCTTGTAGCTAAATTTCGGGAAACTGGGTCAGTTGCCAATAAAAAACACAACATTGAAAATCCCATAACGAACGAAGCAATAAAAGTGGGGGGTTTTAGGGCAAGTTTATGTATATCCTACTTTAAGTACCCCCCAATTGGGGACTGTGTGTGGTGTTAGTCGACGTACTGTCCAACGGATTCTAAAGGCCCATAGTTTTCATCCGTATAAAATGCATCTGGTACAAGAACTTTGATCGGCGATTACCATTTTGTGAAGATATGAGTGAACGAATTATAAACGATGAACATTTTCTATTCAACACTTGCTTTTCCAACGAATGTTCCTTTTTCTTAAATGGCGTAGTATATCGTCATAACTGCCGATATTGGTCCGATTCTAATCCCAGAATGTATCATGAGGTTCATACACAGCAGCCACAAAAATTAAATGTTTTGGCTGGTATTTTTGGCGATCATTTAGTTGGTCCATTTTTCTTACCTGGAAATTTGACCTGTGAAATGTATTTGGAATTACTGGATGACGCCATAGATCCTGCAGTAGCAGCCAGAATTGAAAATCAGAATGATCGGCGGTACATTGCGAATAGGTTGATGTTCCAACAGGATGGTGCCCCACCACATTACGCATTACGTGTTCGACAATATTTAGATCAGACGTTTCCAGATCGATGGATTGGTAGAAGAGGTGCCATTGAATGGCCCCCAAGATCGCCAGATTTATCACCTTTGAATTATGTGGGGTCATTTAAAAAGCAAAATCTATGCTACTCATCCAACATCATTAGAATACTTGCGACAAAGAATTGTGAATGAGTGCCTTCAAATTACTTCTCAAATATTGCAAAATGTGCGGCAGCGTTTTGAGCAAAATCTTTATTATTGCATGGAGAGTCATGGTGGCCATTTTCAACATTTACTTGCCTAACGTGTCAGATCATTCTTAATTTTTAAATTACTTTGCTGCCAAATGTATTGATCTCCACTAATGATGATGTATTAGTTTTAAATTTAAGCTTTAAATCATTAAATCTTCAAAACTACTGAACTGAAGTACATTAAATTTATATCATTATAAAGGGAATTGAAAGACCTTTAAAATAAGGTATCACTCGACCCCCCTTTCCATTTAAGATTTTGGGGGTGGTGTCACCCCGGCTTAGGGGGCTGCACGTACTAACGTGATTTTTTGCCAAACTTGTGTCCAACGCGAAAACAAAATCGACGGGTCCGATCATTTTTAAAAAAACAGGGTGTCTGCAAAGTTGGGGTTTTCCTTTTCAGAAACAACTACCCTTGAAATAACAAAGGTAATGTGTAGTGAAACGAGGGCGACCAAGTAAAAAAAAAATAAAGGAAAAAGTACTCACTCTCCAGTTGACGAGAAAGGCTAAGTACGTCTCTGCTCGAAATCATACCGCTCCAACAGAAAATGAAATCCCACGAACAGAGGTAACAAATATGACGGCGTTGCCGCGTTTTCAGTCTTCAGGTAAACGTACTTTATAGGTATTGTTCGAAGTTATCGCCGTTTGATTCAAAAACACAGGTGCGTGCACGACGTAGCCAAGAATCGGTGCAGGCTTTGAGAATGGAGTCCCTCCCCCGAATGAAAGCACCAGCTTGTTCAATTCTGAGACGAAGTTCGTCAACCGTATGCACTTCAGTTTTGTACACTAAGCGTTTCATTTCTCTCCAAAGAAAAAATCACATGGTGTGGTCTGGAGATCGCGGAGGCCACGCTACGGGTCCATTACGTCCGATCCACCTATTCGGAAATAATTAATTCAAATACTCACGCACTTCGCGTCTAAAATGGGGCGGTGCACCATCGTGCAGAAACCATATTGATTGTCTTACACTTAATGGCACATCTTCTAACAAGGAAGGCAAAATGTTGCGTAAAAAGTCTAGGTATTGCATCCCGTCCAATCGATTTGGGAGAATAAATGGTCCAATGAGCATACCGTTCACCATGCTAGCCCAAACATTCACCGAAAATGTTTGTTGAAAGTGTGCCCGACGGACAGCGTGCGGATTTTCTACTGACCAAACATGAGTGTTGCGAAAGTTATTCACCCGATTACGCGTGAACGTAGATTCGTCTGTCACCAATATGCACTTCAAAAAGTCCGGATTATTGTCATGTTGATGCAACAACCACTCACAAAACCGCACTCTTGCTGGAAAATCGTCAGGTTGAAGGGCTTGTACACGTTGGACGTGAAACGGATACAGCCCCTCTTCACGCAGCGTTTGCCACACTTTAGTTTTTGATACTTGCATTTCTCTAGCCACGTCTCTAGTGCTTGTTGAGGGATTCTCGTCTACGCGATTACCTCTACACGCGTGACCGTAACCGTCGGTTGAAGGTTGCATACAGACACAGACTGACACACTGACCCCGACCCAGTTCTGTCGTCGGGTTGAGCCAGTGACCTTGTACCACTCGGTGATGTCGCGGATCGCGGCTACAGGACGGTATTCAGATATTTTTGATGTTGAGAGCCTTTTATCTCGGTTCCCTTAAGACATTGGTGTATATGGTACTGAGAAAAATTGCTTATGTTTTCAAGATCTACACGCCGTGTAAAGGAAACCCCCAACTTTGCGGACACCCTGTATATTTAAGAATCGGAAAAAAAGGATTATCATTTTCTCCAAAAATATATAGGGTATTTATTCCATATAAAAAAAACTTTATCCGATAGCATTTTCCTGTATACAAAATAAAAAAAATATTATATTGAAACTTCATATTAGACCTTTCATATACAACTTTTTCTGTTGGAAGGTCACATAAAAAACTTATAAGGAGGGTCAGTTTACACCATAGCCATAGCCGAACAACCTGTACTTACAAAGTAACAAACTACATGGCTTAAAATTTTAAGTTAGTCCAATGTTTGGGAATGTCATAGGAAAGTATCGAGATGATTACTAGTTACACATATTAAAAAAATCTTTATTTACAGTGCCAGTATGTAAAAATTATCACAAATGAAATACAGTTAGATGTACCTATTGTCTATAAAACTGCAGTAATGGTCCATTGGTTTTATGACGTCAACACTTATTTCCCACTGAAAAAAAGCATTCCAGTTAATAAAATCTTCTAAATGTACGTTGCAATTGAAACATTATTGAACATACACTGTTTTTATCAACAATATTATAGATAATTGCAGTATTGACATTTTATTCATAACATATATTTTTAGTTGCATGTTTACTCTTATTGAAATTTGAGTTAAAACGTTTAAGCAATAACTACACAACAGCTATTACACAAGGAATTAAAAAAATGGCTCATAATTTATTCGTATAACTATGTTCGGCATAGGCCTATATAATTTGTTCACACTCTCCACCCATTTCACACCGTTGTGATCTAGAAATATCTCCCCTGTCATATCACCTGCACCAGCCATGTGGCAACGTTGCCAGAACTAACCTTGCCACCGGTGCTGCCAGATCTTCCGTTTTCACCGTAGATCTACCATTTTAAGCCTTCTGTTACCGCTCTACCGTGCAATGCTTGCTTGCTTCTACCGCTTTTTACTGCCGAAACTTCGATCATATACGCCCTCAGTCCCTAAATATCAGGCAATTTACAATAAAATGCCGAATAAAATTCCATTCATTGGACTTAAAAGCTCCTTTTTATTGGTCCTTTGCCGTAAATGTAAGTGTCTTTGGTTCATTATTGGCTCTGTCCTTTTGTAAATGTCGCTACTATCGTTTTTAGCATTCTTGATCTGACAGCACTGCTCATCATTCTCATTGCTCATCGCATCGGTCAGATATCGATCAGTCTCCGATGCAGCTATTCTGTATATTGCGTTATTGCTGTATATTTATCTATCACTTCTGTAACAAATGTGCGGGGAAACCTACGATGTGTGAAATATACTTAATAGATTCGGAGAGTAACTGTTGTTAGAAGTGTATAAAAATCTTCGCACTAAGAATTTAAGATATACACCCCCCTCCCCTGCCATCCTTGACCCTCAATTTTTACACTATCCAAATTTTTTCTAGGAATAAACAGGAGCCATAAAGAGAACGATACTTGTTTTTCTAACAAACAATATATCTGGAGCGCCGCCGCCACTATACCGAATTTTTACCCCCCCCCCAAGTATTGTAATCGGAAAAAATTCCGAAAATGAAATAAATATCTTTCTTGGATGTTTTACCCGTATATGACATGACACACATTTGTTATTTTTGTTAATCATGTGCATACCTTGCTGTTTTTCTAAAAGGAGCTAATTTGTTGCAATTTCTTTTTATAGCCACTACTACATTAGGTTTCTTCACGTTAATGTAATAATGTGGTTGTTGTTCAGTCTGCTAACAATACGTGTTAAGGGGCTCGACTCTATATCTCACATGTAATTTCATTGATTTTCTTATATGCGTGGAAAATGTTGAGTCGACCCACTTGACGCCATTTTTAATTCTTTGCTTAGTAATAACCTTGTTTGAAAAATCCGACAGGTACTTTTCAAATTCTAGCGAGGCCAACGATTAGCGGACAGACAGACAGACCGAGGGACAAACAGGTCGATATACCGTGATATACGTCACATGTCAAAAAATTTTGATCATTTATCAGTTTTTCTTGATTGCAATACTTCCTCACCATCCGTGTATTAGGGCCACCGTAAAACAGAACAAGACCCCCCTTTGAGGCCTGAATCCGTGTCCTTGACCATAATCGAAAAAAATATTTCCGGTGCCATTGTTTAGGGATCTGAGGTTTCGACGAAGGATGCGCATGGTTTATAAGAGCATTTTTAATGTTTTTTGAATATGCGACACCTTCAAAAATATTATCGATTTTGCGGTTTAGTATCAAATGTACTTACTATGAACCTGCATTTGCAGAAGCACTAGCCGATGCAGTGGCGGATGCAGAACTGTGAGCTTTGGCAGCCGCTTGAGCATCTGCGCTGCTGCTGCCGCCTCCTGAGCACGTTGAGCAACCTCCACTACCTCCATATCCTCCTCCCGGGCCGCCCCCGTATCCTCCGCTGCCTCCTGAACCTGTCGAATAGCAGTGATTATAATAATAATGATAAATAATAAATGGACTTTTTTTCGTACCAAAGTTCAGAAAAGGCAAAGTGTCGCTAAGAGTAGCGTTTTCCAACTTAACCTTGTTGAATAAGAAATTAAAAATATGTGAATTAGGCCAAGAAATACGGAGATTATAAGGAAATCCTACAATTTGGGCAACAATAGACTTTTTCGGTGGTATTGTATTTTTGCTTTCTAGTGATGAGTTCAAATTGGCGTCACGGGGGTAGAGAATTTGCCGCCATTTTGGTAAATGCGTTTGATCGAAAAGCTTGAACACCATTGATAGTATGTAAAAAAGTAGTTTTGTAGGGAACTAAATCATTCGTTATTTTGCTTCTACGGTGAGGTTCAAATTTGGCTGACGTCATAATTTGTACGAGAGAGATGCGCGAGACGCGTGCAATATGTATTTTAGAAAGAGTGCGCCGATGGCACCCGTGACTTCGTACTCGGGTTGCTAGGGAACGAGGTGCTTCTATCTCTTTCTAACACACGTATCTATTGCACGCTTCTCGCGCTTCTCTGCCGTAGACATTACCACGTCAGTGGTATTTCGTTTTCAGTGTATAAACATATATGTTGTACCTATGGTGAACAAATTACGAGAAATTAAAGGGTAATGTAATGATATTTCTGTTCACAATGACTAAACTAAAAATCGAAGACTATGAAACGTTACTATTTTTTGTAGAAGATAAAATTTAAAATAAAAAAAAATAAAAAAGGCTCTACGTCTTTCTCAATACCTTAAAGGTTCTTGGAGTATAAAGGAGCTAAATATTTGAATTCGTATAAAAGCGACATACTCCGTACGCTACCTACCTTCTTCACGTAATCCTTATATAGCATTATTTCACGTCAAAACAACTTAATCATCATCTATGATCAAAAATACCATTTTAAAGTGAATTTTTTGATAATTTGTTATACTTCTTCTTGTACAGTTTAATGCTTTCAAAACACAGTGCCGAACCATGACGAACAAAAAGCGTCCTAGCGCTCACCAGGTTTCGATGGATGGCCGACTTCTGCCAAAGAGTCGTTCATTTCGGCTGGTCGGAGTCCAGATCACCGAGGACTTGCTCTGACACGAACACACCTCGTCAGTAACTATGAAGTACTTTTCTCCGCATGACCTCCTCTCTCTATACAAGGCCTAGATAAGACCTAGCCTCGAGTATTGCTCACACGGTTGGCGTGCTGCCGTCCCGACTACTTTATTTATGCTCGATACTGTCCAGAGCAGGACTGTCCGACAGATCGACTGCTAGACAAAGTGGCGACAAATGTTCCAGCCCTATAATGACGCCAATTTGAACTTATCGTTAGGAAGCGATAATCTAACGACATCACAAAAAAGTTACTGTCACCAAAATTGTTGGAAAAAATTACCTATTTCCTGGTCTAAGTAAGGAAGCTGTGGAAAATGTTTACATTTGCACGCTACGAATCTTCCTCAATATAATCTTTACTATCGGTATACAATGCGTATCCTACAGATTCACGTATTGTATTGTCTTTACCTCATAACCTGATGACACTTAAAATGAATAGGAAACATGTACAGCCGGTGAAAGTGAAACCAGAGGAACATAGAATGCATGCTATATATGTGCAACAGACAGGTATAGAAACAGATAGAGAACAGCTCCTGAGTGACAGCTATGGCGTCATAGCACTTACCACCTCCTCCACTGCCTCCATATCCTCCACCGCCTCCGCCAAGGCCACCGCCGCCTCCGAAGCCTCCTCCAAGACCTCCTCCTCCCCCGCCGCCTAAGATAAGGCTGCCTCCTTTACCACTTCCAAATCCTACAAAAAAGTGATTGTGACAATCGGGTTTCGGACATTTTTTACTCCCTAAGCCACTGAGCAACGAAATATTGTAATAGCAAAAAATTGTGAAAATGGTTTTTGGATGGTAAATGACATGACGCTAATCCTTGGACCGCTTATACCGGAGCAAGTACCTCTCGGTTTTGAGTGAAAGTTTCACATAGGGTCGCTCCTAAGCCAAGAATGAAAAAGCGTTGCGGTTTTTGAAAATCAGTCCAGTCGCTTCGAAGCTAGGGCAAAAACATGGAGAAATAAAAAACACTCAAACTTCATTTTTTGACGTTATTGTACGCTCCCAACCCCGGTAATTGTAAAAATGTTCTCCTCGTACTTCTGCTATCTAAGCTCACCGCCTTACTTAACTGTCCACAATAAATGAGTTTTCCTTTTTAAGTATTGTTAAAATGTACACACAACTATCGAATTTTGTAACACTCACCTCCGGATCCTCCACCACTTGATCCTCCATAACCTCCAGCACTTCCTCCATGACCCACTCCTCCTCCACCACCACCGCCTCCGAAACCACCCCCTCCTCCAGTTCCGGTACCGCCCCCGCCCACTAGATTGCCAGATTCACCTAAGTTAAAATCTTTGCATAAGAACGGATTATGGCTATAGCTGCAACCACCCCTTCCTGAGAAATAAATTCTACAGTGAATCCTGGAAGAAGTATGTACTTATGCTTATTCTCGAAGAAAAATCAAGTAAGCCTAAAGATGAGAGATACTCAAACCTTAAGGCAAAGAGAAATGTTCTAAATTACTTTTAAACTCGTTCTTAAGGTATATTGAACGACCTCTACTTACTAAGCTAAATTCAAGTAACAAAGTCGTTCCTTGTACTGCTTTTTTCTGCGAAGTTTTGCATAAAGCGATTAGGAGCTGGGAAATCAAAACGGCTTCCATGATCTAGTAAGTCAAAAGATGGGTGTTACTTGAATTTGAAAGCAAAGTGGTGTTCAAATAGGCTTTTAAACTCGTTCTTGAGGTTGGCTTTTACTTATTAAGTTAAAGTGATAAAGGCATACCTTGCACTGCTTTTCTGTTAGCAGTTTTTAGGAAACGTTTGGCAATCAAAACGATCCCATCGATCTAGCCTCATATATGGCTACAAGGTCATACCTACATTCCAAGTTGACTAAGAATTCAATTAATTTGAATCTATATTTAGTGTGGATAGTTTACACCATGGTAAACCGGGTGTAGCCCGATTTTTAAAAACAATGTTTACCTTACTTCTGGAGTAATAAAGTTGATTTAATCGAGAATAAGCATATTCATATATATGTTTGTCACTCAGGAGCATTATTTGTACAGAATGTGTGATCGTGTGATTACTTGCAATGAAAACAGAAATTCACTGTGTGGTGCGGGTGGTACATGCATTGTGATTTTTATTTATAGCATCGACTTGTTTGGATCACGAACTGATCGGTCATATAGGTTGCATAAGTTAGTATACGGTTAAACGCAATTAATATGGGATATTACTAACTCCAAAGTAGGGATAAACAAACCGTGGAATAGGCATGTCGTTTCTCCTTCCTTTAATTTTGCTGTGATGTTCTTGATTATCTTGATAGGTGCAGATAGGGCTTTAGCGCAATGATTGTTTCATAAAATGCACTTACCACCTCCATAACCTCCGCTACCGCCTCCTCCATATCCACCAGCACCTCCTTTGCCGCCGCCAAGACCCCCTCCAAATCCTCCACCTCCTCCAAGCCCTCCGCTTCCCCCAAATCCGCCAGATTCTCCTACACCATATCCTCCACTGCTTCCTCCTCCATATCCTCCAGCTCCTTTACCACCACCGATACCTCCACCACCTCCTAGGCCTCCACCTCCTCCTTGGCCACCGCCTCCTCCAAAACCTCCAGAGCTCCCTCCTCCATATCCTCCGCTACTTCCTCCACCGTATCCTCCACTGCCACCTCCGTATCCTCCACTACCGCCTCCGTATCCCCCTGATCCTCCGCCTCCGTATCCTCCCGATCCTCCGCCTCCAAATCCCCCAGCGCCTCCTTTTCCTCCTCCAAAGCCATCACTTCCACCGTGCCCCCCTCCATATCCTCCAGATCCGCCTCCATATCCTCCAGATCCCCCTCCAGCTCCTCCACCTGCTCCAATTCCACCTCCGTGTCCTCCTCCAGCGCCACCGCCATAGCCTGGTTTTAAACACAATTATTCAATTAATGACAATTCACCTTATAAGGAAGCTTTCGTTCCTCCGACCACAGACGGCCAACCAAGGACAGCTGTTTCGTGCTATTTGGCAACTCAGCATGGTCTAGGCTTTGTCTCAGGCAGAACAACGAACGAAAGCTGGGCAACTCTCCTATCAGGTCTATCGAAATAAGACAGCACAAAGTGCCATCTATTAGAATTGACCACTGCGAGAGTGGTGACTTGGCTGACAGTGCGAATTGGGTTACAGTTCCATCAGACAGCCACTGTTTTCACTTGCAGTGGTCGACTCTGGTAATAAATGGCGTTGTTGTATGCTGTCTTATTTCAATAATTCAACTTTACAGAAACAGACTAGAATAAATACTTTAACTTTCAGCGTGCATGAATTAACCAAACCTAAAATATAATCCTTAACCACCCCATCCAACTAAAACTTAGTTTCACGTGCACTATGACTTACGAATGCGGGACAAACTGATAGGAAATCCCTCTCGTCACCGACCAAATGCCCTCAAGATGTCTCATGCCTTAGAACGTTTTTAAACTCCTAATTTCCTATCTTTATCACTAAACTTCCGTCCTTTTTTCAAAAAAACAGTTTGTAGGAGTATTCTTATTACTGTTTGTCTTATTGTTTCATGGTGTATAAAGAGATGACTAAAAAACAATGTTATCAATCTATTTTTGGCACAAAATGCATTATTTTGTGATGTGTGTTCTATCGTACCCTGTTAACAAATAATTCCAGAAAATAGGGTTCTCAAAAAAGCATAGATTTTCTGAAGAAGATAAACAAAACGTAATCACCCGCTCAATTCTACTATAAAATTGAAATACTTTCATACAATTTCAGAGCGAACGTTACGGTAGAATATATTTAAAATGCACAAAAAATTGACTTTTCACAAAAAAATTGACAACAGAAATTGTGGGTTTTTAGTCATCTTTATTACTCACCATGAAATAATCAGGTAGTTGAAAAAAGGGATGTACGACCTTAAGTGACAAAAGTAGTCAATCAATAGTCCCAGTCCCCCTTGTCGTCCCCTATAATAACCTCAAAGAATAACAATTTCTTGATAACAACACACTTAGATTTTAATTTTTGAGTTTGAGCATGATTTGCCTCAGTTTTGTGAGGTAAACCTACTTCAAATCATTTTTACAAGGGTGGCCCGTTCAAATAGAGGACGGGCGTATTCTAAAACAAATAATTATATAGAAAAATGAAAATATTAAAATGTACTTCCAAGGAAAACTGTATCTGTACCGTATTTTCCAGTAACCTTAGGAAATATTAATAATCTAGTGCCGTGCTTCATGCTACTACTTTATATTTACATGCTATGAGCGACCGCTTTGCTGCTTACCTTTATCAACCGGCACTACTATTATATCAACGGAACCTGAAATTGAGAGATGTCACCCTAAAAACCTTTCACATGAATTTGATTGAAATTATAGATACCATTATTAAGATCAAAGAAAATGTTCACATTGTCTGACAACAGACGATGAAATCTTTTACAGTAACGAAGCTACCCACAAGTAATGTAGAACTAGTCGGTGGGTTGGAAAATCCAGGTATAGTCTCTTGTATTTTATCAAAATCACTTTTTAAGTTGCATATTGAAATGCCTTATCACGAACAAAAAGTCTAATGGACGGTACTTATTATTTACCAAAATTGATTGGCGTGCTTTTGATAGGCAAGACTGGTGCTTGCGGTTCTCGTCGTGTTCAAAGATATTGTTGTCCGTTCTTGGCGGTTACATCATCAGCGCCATATGAAATAAATAAACAGATCGAGTCTCCGTACCATGGGCGCAGACTAATATTCAACGCATCTGCTACTCTCTCCAGTACGCATAAATACTCTAATAAATTTAGCACGAGCTGTCGGCCTTCTCCATTGATCGTTATTCCGGGCTTTGTACAATTTTATATTGAAGATTGATAACAGGGCAACTAAAATTGCGCGCTTATGTCGAGTAAGTTGTCACTCTGACAAATATGATTGAAGGGCACTCATACGTAACGACAAAGTTTTCGAGACGGAGACACACAGCTAAAAAACGTAAATCTTTTAGCTTAGCGAAAAAACGTTCACACACAGGGGTATGTGTATGTATGCGAGAGATGGATGTATGAAAATGTAATTTACTTTGAACCGCCAAAAACCGTGAAAGGAACTATAGTAGCTATATTCGAGTATCTTGTTTCTATCAGATTATGTGACACAAAAACTCAACATTTCAGATGCTACCATCAACATTTTACACAATAGTGCTTAGAATAGACCTGAAGTTGCTTTGGGAATTCAAAATTCCCCTTCCGGATTCAGTTTTTCTTATTCACTTGAATTTTATTAGGTACAACGCCCTATAACTTATGCTCTGAATTTATTATTATTTCCCACAAATAATAGTCAAAATTAATATGCACCACATTTAATTTTTTATTGGGATTTTTCAATGACTTAAATCAACCAACTGATGTTGTACAACTTCTTAAAAGGGAAACATCGTTTAGTACGCACATCCAGTAAATCTGATCTTCCGGACCAACTTGAAATTAAGTCAAAAATCTACAAAAGTTTAGTATGCAGGTCCAAACTCGGCATCTTAATGTGTGATGTGCGTTAGGTAACTAAATCTAATGTAGGGATTATGGTGAGAGGATACCAAACTGAAGCTGAAAATTCTGAGCTCAGATCTGTGTATTGTATTTTTCTACATTTCCATCATAATTTTTAGTTGGTATGGAATTAAAATTCAGTGCATTTGCATAAAAAGTCAGTAGGCTGCACAACATGAAAGTACCTTTCATTTATATCATATATAGTTTTTTTAATAATAATAATAATAATAAATTCAGGGAATCAGTTGCAGGGCGTTGATAAATTACAAAGAAATAACAGAAAAACTGAAACCGGCTCGGACATTTTGAGTACCTTAAACCCCTTTAGTTTAATTTTAATCACTATTTCGTAAAACCTTAATGAAATCAAGTTGATAACGTTTGAAATTTCAGGTTCTGTGTCACATAAACTGGTGGAAATAAGTTATTCGAATGCATAAATAAGATTTGTTAACTAAAAATCAAAACATGCGCAGTTAATCAATTTTGCTGATTAAAAAGCAACATTTCAATAATCTGCTAAAAAGGTGTCGATTTTGATAGAACACAAAACAGTTTAAATAGGACACGGCCCTGGATTTTGTGAGTTCATTATTGTGCAAAATTTCATCAAATTGCCTGCATATCCCCACAAAATGAACTTTTTTTATTTCCAGATGATCCTAATATTTCACAATCTCAATGCCTTCATTATGATAACTCTAAAACTGAACATGGTAATTGATGTTACTATATTCGAACTTAGAACTCTTCTTGAACTCTTTGATCAATGAAACTTGACATCTGAGAGATTCAATTGCTGACGATAAACAAAATCGATAACTGGTGCATTGGAATACTATTTTGTATGATATCAAGCTATTGTAAATTTCGATTCAGTGTGTTGACCCTATCACATCGAGGAATCCAATGGAAATACGGCTTTACCCGAGTTACGAACATTGTCGTGTCCATATACATTTATAGAATCGGACTCCTCGATGCGTACAGATCTCACTGCATACCGCGTCTCTAAAATTCGGCGTTCATCATTCAGATCTTGGAGACGGTAAGAGATGCGAAGTTGGTTAAGACGGGAGCAAAGTTGCGCATTTAGGTAACTAAGAAAAAAAAGGAATTTTCCAAAAATCGTTTTTACTTTTAATCTGATTTTATGTTAGATGGGATGTTAAAATAAATTTCACATTAACATTGCCACCATTTCTCCTTTACAAGGTGGCATGAATGAAATTTCAATATGACGTTTTGTCAACTCTGTTTTTTTATGAGCGCAATATTGAATTTTGGCATGGGTAAAAAGAGTTCTTTAATTCCGATTTCAAAAATGTGTAACATGTCGTACCATGACAAACCTTAGTTGTTAAATAAAAATAATATTTTCATAGTTCGCCATGCAAATTACAGCTCATAAGTTTATTCGATTGAAGCACCAATTAAGCCTCGTTTTAAGTATTGACAATTGTGTTTAAGGACATTCATATATTTTACAAAAGGACTGAAATTTATTTTTTTTGTTTATCTCTGAATTTGATGACTTAATAAGTGTCATTTTCTTGATTACCTTTGCGCGCAACTTTTTCCCATCTAACCAACTTCATATCTCGTTTCCAAGATCCCAACGGTGAGAGTCGAACTTGAAACACCTGGTATAATAGATTAATTCTTAGCATACCTCCTCCTTTGCCTCCGCCATATCCTCCACCAGTTCCTCCTCCGTACCCTCCTCCCTTACCACCACCGTATCCACCTCCTGTGCCGGAGCTGCCTCCATCTGTGTAACTTCCACCATGACTTCCACCAAATCCGCCTGTGTTTCCACCGCCTCCGCTGCCGCCTCCAAAACCTCCTCCGTAACCACTTCCGCCTAAAGAGGTTCATTGTGTTTCAAGATTTTACTGTGAGTTACAAAATTTTGATATGTTAACCCTTTGCGGCGTACTGGTCGTCTGGGATGATCACCAATTTATATTAAAGGACCCCGCACAAAATGTATGGAAATGAGGCGCAGTCGATTTGTCTAAAAATTGGTTATTGGATATTTCTCGCTTACCTGAACAAAAGTTACATGGGAACAAAGCAATCCTATGATTGATTTCGGGAAAATAGGGGAAGAAGGTTGCCTGATTTGCAAAAATGGTGATTGGTGCCGATTGTAGTTTTCAGACCAAATACTCAGAACATTGTTATACAAAAGAAAGTACTTCGTTTAAAAACCTTTAAGGAGGTGTAATGTTGATCTTAGCCGTGATCCTTACAAGGTCGTCAGTTGTCTAAATTATAGAAGATATTTTTCAATACATGTACCACACATGGTCTGAGAAATATGGCGATTATCGACATGAAACCCGCAGGATGAGTTTCAGACGTTACATGAAGTGGATCTGGCACGAGTTGTTCGAGAATTCCAAAAGTTCACTCAAGACAGTTTGCATCACAAGGTACTGAAAAGTGGTGGTTGCTTAGTTGTCATACAGCCGAAAGAAACCGCTGAACGTAGAAACTTGTAAGTTTGCAGAAAGGATCTTCATGCAACGCAAGTTAGCACTAAGAAGGTATTTTTAAAAATTCACCTTCCAAGAGGATGAAATAGGGAGTGGGAGTTCGGTTTAATCTTCATATGCTTTCATTGGATTTACTTGCAACTTTGTACAAATGCTTAACAACACAACTTTTGATGCGCTTGATACGAAGTTCAACACCACAAGTTAAACATTTTTATAAGGTGCGTGTTGGATACCGGTAATTATCCTGGTAACTTCAAAATCAGGAGCCAAAGAATTTCGTATTAGTTGGTGGTCATCCCTGAAGCCCAGTAGGCCGCAAAGGGTTAATGTAAAAAACTCGACAACCCTCAGTTTGGAGATACAGTGAGATCTATAGTCTACAGTTATACAATACTCATAAGGAGCTTCAAAATGATATATGACATTCCCCATTCCCATTCCATTTAAACATTTCAAGATGGCGCTCAGCCTCCATCATGACATCTTCAACTGTCACTTTTACTTCAAAATATATCTCATATATTAATTTTATCATCTTCAATTATGACTTGATATCTTCACCTGTCCAAAAAATGAATGGGGTACATTGAAGAAAACCACTGTATATGCATTGTGTTTTAATTACCTCCAAATCCACCGCCTCCTCCACCTCCTCCACCACCGCCTCCTCCAAAACCTCCTCCATATCCTCCTCCGAATCCTCCACCGCCTCCTTTTCCTATGCCCAAAATCCCACCTAGCAGACCAGGGCCCTTCAATGTTCGCCGTTTACGAGACAGGGTCTTGGGAGTTGGCACTTGCAGCTTCTGTAATGATAAAGGTCCAGCAGTGTTGGAGGAAGTTCGTACTTAAAAAAAGGAGTTTGATCCCAAGTCATGTAGATTGTCTTTATTCTATCGACGTACGTTAGTGAATGTCTATCATAAAAATCCTCAGAAACCAAGGTTATCACAATCAAGTCACAGTCAAAGAGATATTCAGTGAGGAAATCCGAATATAGTATTTACTTAAAAAATCTAGAGCTCTTTAAAAAATGTAGGTACTGATACGATAAGCTCAATCATTGTAATCAACATTAGATATATCTAAAACTTGAAAAATAAGTCCTTTCTTCATACATGAGCCACCGCGCAGGCCAAAGGCCTAAATACTTTGGGGTGCCGAAGAATTATGGGGGGGGGGGGTAGGGGAGAATGTCACACGAACTGTATCACGTGAGCTCGTGACATGCACACATTCTGGCTTTAGGGATCCGCCGGGTGGTATCTCCACGCTGGACAGTCTGAGACTGTCTACCACCTATATAGCCAATCACATCATCCATAGCCAAGAGAAAAAATTTCTTGGGACGGGACTCGAACCTAGGTAGCTCACGGCAACTGATTAGTAGACCTATAGCGTCTACAACTCGCCACAACTGCTCTCAAAAATGTCCATCCTTTAATTATTCGACTAAGCTCAAGCGAAAGCTGAGAACGTAGAGTAGCACAGACGATATGAGGTAGCACAGTAACTGCACAATCGCATTAGACGTATATATAGAGGTTTCAAGATGGGTTTCTAATTCAAAGCTCTGTCAGCTAACTTACTTCACAAAGGTTTATCATATCAATTAAATATCATCTTCAATCAGCCACCTACCTTACAATACTCAAATCCACCCCTAAATCACCTTACGTGTCAATTTTCGGTAGGCCTGATGATGAGAAATATGGAAAATGCCGAAAATAGTGTTTTAAATTTTTTTAAATAATATCTGCTATTTCTAAAACGTATAAAGCCCTTTGGATCTTGGCGTAATAGACTTCATCTACATATACAGGGTGGCCAAACACGTGACGTCATAAAAAAAAATTAGATTCCCCACATCGAGAGGAACCCAAATCACCCCCATATATATGGTCCGATTTTGTTTAGTTTAGGAGTTATGATTTTTTTTCGGATTTTTCGAGAATTTTTGAGTTCTGTGTTTATTTTTACCATAACTTCGTTAATAATTGTGATAAATGCCTGCTTTTTTCACGATTATGTAGCTAAGACCTAAGGCTTAACTATCATATCATTCATTCATTCAAGTCATGTAACTAATACTACTTTTTAATTTTTTTCATCAACCTAGCTTTACTACATGCTACCGTAATTGTGGCTCAAATAGAACCGAACCCAAAATTGGATAACCCTCTGCTCAATAGAAATTGTTAGTTTCGGAAAAAAAAATTGCAAAAACCACAAAAACACGTTTGATTTTTACTGAACAGCAGATTATTATTCATTTATGTTATTTACAAGAGGTTTTCAAAATGTCTGCCTCTAACAGAAATGCACAGTGTACACCTACGTATGAAATTTTGTTTTAAATCTCTAAATGCTTGCGTGTTGTTTTTCAACACATGTGTCGCTTCTTGAATTTTGTTGCTCAATGAATTTTCATTTGCACATTCTTGGGCGAATGTTATGTCTTTAAAATATCCCCAAACAAAAAAATCAATGGGGTTGAGGTCAGGGGAGCGTGGAGGCCATCGTATCGGTCCGTTTCGTCCGATCCATCTGTCTGGGAACCTTTCGTTTAAGTAGTTTCGCACGATCGTTGCGTTGTGGCATGGTGCACCATCATTCTGGAACACCATGTTCCGTCTGGCTTCCAGGCTTGAATCTTCCAGCAATAATGGTAGGCTATTTTCAAGGAAGCTTTTGTAGGCTACCGAATCCAACCTTGACGGCAGTTCAAATGGACCGATAAATTCCATATTGAATATTCCTGACCACATGTTCACACTAAAACGGTGTTGAAATGTCGACGGCCTTGACTGGTGGGGGTTTTCAACAGCCCAAGTATGTAAATTATGGATATTGAATATCCCTGTTCTTTCAAAACGTGACTCGTCAGTCCATAAAATTTTATCAAAAAAATCGGGATCCTCTCGTTGTCTTCGCAGCATTGTCTCGCAGAAATCCACTCTTAACTGGTAATCTGAAGGCATCAACGCTTGAACTCTTTGAACATGATAGGCATGATAACCTTCTTCATGAAGAATATTTTGTATCGATGTTCGTGGTATTCTAAGGTTTTGTGCCATAGATCTCGTACTCGTTGAGGGATTCCGGCTAATTTCTTCAAGTACTACTTCTCTGCGATCCGGATCAGCTGTAGGATATCCTTCATTGCTTCCTCGTCCTGGAACGCGGCCTGCCATGAAAGTGTTATGTGTGTTAATAAAAACACGGTGGTCTGGGTAATGCTCAGGTTGTGGTCCGCCTCGGCGTATAAGTTGTTCCCGGTACAGCTGAGCTGCTAAAGCGCCGTTGCCTTGAGCAACGCCATAATAATAATGCATTTCTGCATATTCACGCAACGTATAATGCATCACAAACTGATTTTTTTGTTTGGGGATATTTTAAAGACATAACATTCGCCCAAGAATGTGCAAATGAAAATTCATTGAGGAACAAAATTCAAGAAGCGACACATGTGTTGAAAAACAACACACAAGCATTTAGAGATTTAAAACAAAATTTCATACGTAGGTGTACACTGTGCATTTCTGTTAGAGGCAGACATTTTGAAAACCTCTTGTAAATAACATAAATGAATAATAATCTGCTGTTCAGTAAAAATCAAACGTGTTTTTGTGGTTTTTGCAAATTTTTTTTCCGAAACTAACAATTTCTATTGAGCAGAGGGTTATCCAATTTTGGGTTCGGTTCTATTTGAGCCACAATTACGGTAGCATGTAGTAAAGCTAGGTTGATGAAATTTTTACGGTAAATAGCTGATACCGTAAGGAAGTTTTTAAGATACTTACGAATAGTAAGAACATGTTTTTTCAATTTTTTATAAACGTTCAAAGTTGTTGCACTTTTTTACTTTTTTGTTATGTTCGAAGATTTTGAAAAAAATTAAAAAGTAGTATTAGTTACATGACTTGAATGATTATATGATAGTTAAGCCTTAGGTCTTAGCTACATAATCATGAAAAAAGCAGGCATTTATCACAATTATTAACGAAGTTATGGTAAAAATAAACACAGAACTCAAAAATTCTCGAAAAATCCGAAAAAAAATCATAACTCCTAAACTAAACAAAATCGGACCATATATATGGGGGTGATTTGGGTTCCTCTCGATGTGGGGAATCTAATTTTTTTTTTATGACGTCACGTGTTTGGCCACCCTGTATATTGGCGACTATACTATATTATACTTCCGTCACCAGTTAGCGTGGGAGGCAAATAACATTTTCAATTCGTAACTGTAAGACTAAAATGCAAACCGTTATATTTAAATAAACAATTACCTATAATAAAGTAACTTGGAAAATATAAATGTCATTAGTCAAGATTACTCATTTTTTAAAGATTTTTTAATTTTACTACTATACACGTTGTTAATCTGTCTGTTTATCTACAGCATGTTACATAATTACATAATAAGTATGCTATCTTATGGTCATATGTACATAATGGTTGTATAATTATCGATACTCGTTTGTTTTATACCTGTGCATTTACATTATTTATATCGAAATTTTGATTATATGCAAAATAATGTACAGAAATTTGGATTTTGAAAAGTATTATGTATCCAATAAGAACAGATCTTCGAAAAATTAACTCATTTAAATCGAATAATCTAGATGGTCATGGCAATTTGTGGTTTTAGCAAAGCATTTTTTTATGATTTTAGCGAACTTTCCGGCGATTCGTCTCTATCTGCTATACGAGTATTTCATCTAGTTTAAAACTGGTTAAGAACTAGTTTCCATTTGAATTATCAAAAAAAGTTACTACTTGAAATTGCAGCATTTCAGGACGTAAATATTTATATGAACTTTTCTACTTCGAATAGTCCTAGGGATCACCCCATGAAGTTTGACCAGGTAGTTTTCAATTATATTTTAGAAATAAGAAGAAGCACCAAACATTTTAATAATTCAGATAAACAAGAAGAAGAATGTGTATCAGCGAGATGTTGAGAGAAACGCGTATATTAGAGCGAGAGCGCGAATGAAGCATCCACACACTCGTTGTCCTTGGTGTCGAGCTCGTTGTGTTTCTCTCTCTATCTCTCTCATACACAATAAAATTTTAACATCACTGATTTTCTGCCCATCCTGTATATCAAATACAGTAGTTAGAATAGTGCATATACCATTACTTTATTTTACTTATTTATGTATTAGTGCTCAATACAGTTGCGTGCTTACACACGTCAGAGTCATAAAGCAACAAAATATATTGGAAGAAACGACATCAACAGAAACATAAAATGATCATTATGAGTGTAAATTAAATACATGAAATAAACACCTAGAACCAACTCATCCGAACAAATTAACAAACAGAACAAAAAGCAAACAAAGCACAATACAACACCGTTATAAGACATCCGAAAACTTATTATTAAAATATTCTTCAAAGGAATAAAAAGCATTATTTATAAGGTGAGCTTTAATTTTATACATAAATGAGCTGGTGCCAGACATTTTGAGTGCCTCAGGAAGAACTTTATAAAAGTGGGTTCCATCGTAGTTTGTACTTATCTGTAGTCGATGATTTGACTTTGCGTTTTACATGTATTGTAACTATGTACCACTGTTGGTTTTGTATACATGTACCTGTCTGTCATAAGCAGACAAAATGAAAAGAGATGGCGGGGTAAGAAATTTCTGGTAGATGAATGCCTCCCGGCATGGCTACATACAAGTATAACTCAGACCTGCGATGACTGATGCAGCGCGTTTGTAGTGCAAATGACATTCTTGAGTGGAGCTGTCCATGATATATAGTTAGCAACGTATCACTAAAAACAGAGCTTTTCAGGTTACTAATTAAAGAAATTTTAGCAAAGAATAAATAAGAATAAAGAGATCAAGAGTACGGATTCAGAACGCCCATTCTCGAATTCGTTTTTAACTTTTCTACCGCTACCATTTCTCAACCTACAAGGGGGTCTTTCATTTTCAGATTAAAACATACCTCAAATTCTATATTTCACTTTCAAGATCCAGGCTTTCAAAATATATTTTAGAATAATGAAATAATTATGAAACTGTGAGAGAATCAACTGCATGAGGTTGACATTCCCATTTGATCAAACAATTCAACGAATGTTCTGTTTTGACCTTATCTGAGTATTGAGGTCCCTTCAATTATCATTTTTAAGGAAGTTAGATCGCTCTTATTATTTATTAGTCCAGTTCTGAACTTTTTCATCACGTTTTATTCTAATGAATGAGATTGACATAATGATGTCCTTACCTGTGGTTCCTTCAGAGCTTTGCCATCCTCAGGCCTGAAGTACACTCCATCTCCTGCTTGGTCAATAGGTATGGGATCCGACAATAGATAAGACTGGGGGGCTACTTTCTCCTTGATACCATTGCTGGCCTTGTAACTTTTGCTGGGGTCATCCAACTCGTGGATCAGATACACTACATCTTCTTTTGGGTGTCCAACGGACTCTTGGACTAACACCACCACAAGGGCTAAGATGAGTGGGTGTAACCAACCCATCGTTGCAAATACTCATGTGATGAGATTACATGCCGGTTATATACTGCATGGTAATACCGATCATTAAGAGGGGGGTTATCGCCTGCCTGAGTACTCTTGTAATGTTTCTTTGCTTGAACATGATCTTGAATATTGGTACAGTAACGGAGACATGAGATGAATTCGTAGCATGGTTGCTATGAAACTTGTGGTTAGTATTTTTTTCTTTGATGCTGTTTTGATTCGACAAAGATTGTCATAATTTCCCCGCTATTTGAGAGAGGAGCTCAAACATGCAGGACAAACTTCGCTTCCGATTGCCGCGGTATCTTGGCGTCGCTTTGCTCAGTGGCCGTAGAACTTATGGAAATAGTAGATTGGAATGCTTCAAATATGTTAAATAACATTTTCAGTCTTTCTTTGTGCATTTGCATATCTTTGATTAACGTTATCAAAATCCTAAAATCATATGCAAAGATATTGTGCCAAGTAACAACACTTCCGGGATTTTGAACCGCGAAGTTAAATAAAAAATGAGGATGAAGAAAGCAAACGTTAGATCCGCAGGGGTATTACGTAACTTGACAGGTGACATTGTGTTGGTTTTTCTTTGACTCCATGTAGGTTTTTTACATTATATAGGTTTCTTTACGTAATAACCCTGCGTTGTCAGTTATTTGTCAATGTCACTTTTGAGCCATGATTTATGTACGTATTGGTGTACTCTTTGCACCCCTATCAGTTCCAAATACCGATAGCCAAAAGTGCTTTGGTCGTAATACTATATTTTTGGGTGTATGTGCGCTATCAAGATTTTTATAGGAGACTTTTTGACCTGTGCAAACCATATACAATACATAAATAATCGTACATTGATTGATACTATTTTTAAAAATAGAGTGCACCAATTTTTATCAAACTTCTGTTACCAATATCTCTGAACGTTGCGACTTATCACGATTTTTTTAGCACACTATTAAGAGAAACAAAATGTATCGCTTACCGCGATATAAAGATACAACGCATTGTCCTTTACGTATAAATCGCGCTAATTTCGTGAAGTTATAGCATTGTGTATGTTTTGCAGAGTTAACCAACTTGACGTCCTTTTAGGTGACTTCTCCGATGATTCATTAATATATATTCAAATCACCAACTTAGGAAGAAAGGTTAATTGTTTTTATACATTATATTGATCCGAAATCATCGCAGCTTCATTTCTTGTTACGTTTTGTACAAAGTGGATATACCTCTTAAGTCAGTCACGAATAGATTACGTAATCGAAGAGCGTGCGCTGATATCTATATGATCACTGGGAATTTGAAGATCCTGGTCAATTTGTTTTTTACTAACGTCTTGAGCTGTGGTCTGAATGAGGCACAGCAGGTGTGATTTAACATGTAGGTGTGGTGCGCAAACAGACGTATATACTCGTACATAAAAAATTGTTTTTAATAATCGTCTGAGTATTGTCTGGTGTTATGCCGGTATACGTCACGTATTCCAAGAGCAATCATTGGAAGTGTTTTTTAACCTTTTCTAACCTCCTATTGTATATTATGTTCGATGAAAAAAGCTTATTTGGTAGAGCTCACAAGGCCAAGCTTGGAAGCTATCTCGCGATCTCAGTAAGTCAGGTAATAGCTGTATATATATTAAGAATGCAAAATCGATTGAGAATTTAATCTTCATAGACGTTTTTACCTTTCATGTTCATCTCTCTATCTGTTGTTGTTTGCGCGTTTTTCTAACTGTGTAATCCCAGAAACGGCAGCGCCAGAGCTTTTGACAAATTAGAGCTAATTCTTTTCATTGCCTACGCTTACTGGCGAGGAAGTAAGAATTTCGAAAATGAGATTGTTTTTTGGATGTTATGTACATCAGGAAAAATCATGTCACTCATCTCCGTCAGTCGGTCTGCCTGCCCATATATTTTTAATTATTATAATCACAGTACAACTCTTGTAACAGTTACAAAAAATATACATGATACAAAGAGACACAGAAACACTAATATCCTTGTCCCGTCTATAATTTGGAAAGTACTACTGGGATTTGCATGAAATGTTCACACAAGACAACCAATATGCCAAGGACGAACACTCTTTGTAGTTTTTGAAAATCATTCCACTCAGAGAAAAATGCCAAAAACGAAAAAAATAAAAATCTCTTAACTTCGTTGTTTGATATTTCAAAGAATCTTAATCATTTTTGAAAAATTTGTCAATTGGGGGATGAGGAAAAGGAGTATTACAAGTTTTTATGTTAGTACAATAACACACTTCCAACCCCGGTAATTCTACGCAGCAGACGAATTTGCACACCATAGATTTTCTGGTACATTTTCTGTTAAAACGTCTGAAATTGATAATAATAAATATAATGAATAATAATTATTTGCAGCAGACGGATGACGTACCTATCAGTCGTACTTGCCGTGCGATATGGGGTTGTAAACTTTGAATCTTTGGTAGCGGGTTCGAAGGACTTGCAGGTAGCAGAGGGCACGGTGACGCATCTATATACAGAGTGTTTCAGTTTATTGTTGCATAACTTTAAGATTCGATAGAACTTTTAAAATTAATGCATAAAGTCTATATAAACATGGGTCGAAAAATGCGTGGCTTCCGAAATACATGGAGTTTAAATTTACTTTCTAAAATAGTTTTTTTTAAATATTTCGAACAATATTTGATGTACATAACAGTGAAAATTGGTATACAAGGGTTTTTTGGTACGACAAAACGAACCATGGGTATCGTTTTACTGTAGCCGCTAGAGGGCGCTCTCTACTGTACCTGTAGTGTATTGAAATGACCGAAATTTTTTTCTGAGTGCAATTTTTTGCTTTTTGAATAAAAATACTGATTCTTCGCACTTTTCAACATAAAAAGCTCTCCTGTGAGTTTTCGTCATAGTTAGCCGTTTTTGAGATATTTCAATTTTTAAGGTTCGATGCCGTTTTAATTATTTATTGGAAAATAATATTTTTTTACATTTTCGATTTAGGCATTAGAAGTAATTAAGATGATCGTTTAGATTGTGTTTTTAAACACAGCAATAATTCCTAACTCCAAATAAACACAAAACAAAATATTAATTTGTTTAATTTTCCAATATTATTTTTAACAACTTAAATTAATTATTTACAACTAAAATGCTATTGGATAGTTAGGATAAACATACAAAATCTAAAGTAGTTGCTCGAAATGTAAAGCCAAGTGTTCAATACACAATTTACATCTACTAATGATCGAACGTGGTATAGCATTATTGAACTAAGGCCTTATTTCATCACATGCATTCCTGATTCTGTCTATTAGCATATCTCTTGTGGTTACGGGAGTCTGGTACACTTTTTCTTTTGGAAATCCCCACACAAAGAAGTCTAATGGATTTAGGTCAGGGGATTGTGGAGGCCAGGCGACTGGTCCTCCACGGCCGATCCATCTTTCTGGATAATTTTCTTCCAGCCAGTTTCTAACTATTCTCGAATAATGAGCTGGACAGCCATCAAGCTGGAACCAGGCCAATCTTCTTAAATCTAACTTAACATCATCCCACATATTTGCATGTTCAGCCTTTAAAAATTCCAAGAAGGTCGCAGCATTTAACCTTGCAGGCAAAAGGTAGGGTCCAAATAGTCGATTACGGTAGATACCAATTCACACGTTCACACCAAATTCATGCTGAAAAAATCTTTCCCGAACTGCATGCGGATTTTCATGCGACCAAATATGTTGAATATGAAAATTTACCACTCCACGTCTAGTGGAGCATGACTCATTGGTCCATAAAACGTTACTTAAAAACTCCCTATTATTATCAGTTTTATCAAGAATCCACTGACAAAATGTGGTTCTTCGTTCTCCGTCCCCTGGCTGTAGTCCTTGCAAATGGTAAGGACGTCTACGGTCATTTCTAAGAAGACGGTGAACATGGCTTGCTGAAATTCCCAAGGCACCAGAAACTCTCATAACACTTGTGGTCGGATCTCTATCAAACTCACGCAGAATCATACGGGTAAATCTGCGCTGACGAACATTTATGTTTTGATCCATTTGGAGATTTCCAAAACCATTTTCAATTATTTGGCGATGCACTCTTACAAATACTGAGCGAGTTGGATGTCGTCTGTTTGGAAATCTTCGTGCGTATTCTCTGGCCGCTTCTGCTGCGTTTCCATTTACAAAGCCATACACAAAATGAATATCCGCTAACTCTTGATTGGAGAATATAAATGGCATTTTTATAAAACTTACAAAAAAAAAAACAGGTAAAAGAAACTAAATTTCGTGCATTCACAATTGCAAAAAATGTTTCAGGTTTCAACAGACAAAACTACCTGTCAACTAATTGACGTTTAACCTTATTCTGCTTTCAATTTCAAAAATATTTGCAGGCACAGCCTACTTCTAAAAATTATCGAGATACTGACTTTTGAACGTTATTTTATCATAAATAATTAAAAATGCATCGAACCTTAAAAATCGAAATATCTGAAAAACGGCTAACTATAACGAAAACTCACAGGAGAGCTTTTTTATGTTGAAAAGTGCGAAGAATCAGTATTTTTATTCAAAAAGAAAAAAATTGCACTAAGAAAAAATTTTCGGTCATTTTAATACACTACAGGTACAGTAGAGAGCGCCCTCTAGCGGCTACAGTAAAACTATGCCCATGGTTCATTTTGTCGTACCAAAAAACACTTGTATACCAATTTTCACTGTTATACATCAAATATTGTTCGAAATATTTAAAAAAAACTATTTCTGAAAGTAAATTTAAACACCCTGTATTTCGGAAGCCACGCATTTTTCGACCCATGTTTATATAGACTTTATGCATTAATTTTAAAAGTTCTATCGGATCTTAAAGTTATGCAACAATAAACTGAAACACTCTGTATATAGATGCGTCACCGTGCCCTCTGCTACCTGCAAGTCCTTCGAACCCGCTACCAAAGATTCAAAGTTTACAACCCCATATCGCATTCAATGAGGGTATTTGATTTCGTGGTGTAATATTATATAGTAAAATATATAGTATAAAACTACGGACCAAGAGCTATTATATTCACC